CACAATAAATGAAAGAGGCCCAGGAAACACTGAGGAAATTAAGGTCTCTCTAACACAAATAACAGCAGCAAAGGAGAAAAGTGCGTGACATGTGAAATGTGAATCCTCTTGGCTGCTACTGCTTTAGCTACCACCAAAGGATTGGTTTCTCTGCCCCTTGTCATCTAGAGACCTTTGTCCTACCTAGCCAAAAAGCCTTTGTCCCAGTTCCAGTGACACACCATATCCTGAAAATAGATTTCTTTTCAAAGTTAGATATGTCCAGCTATAATCCTTTGTGAGCAATGACTACTAGTATCCATTTATATGATCTTTGTCTTAATCTGTAAAGACTGGACCAAAAAAAAAATCCTGAATATATCACATCTAAGATCCATAATACTGATTATGAGATACACCATTATTTTATGTAATGCCAAGAGAAAATACACTGTCAGTTACACTATGACATTTACTATAAGATCCATTTCAATTTCAGAGATGCTGGAGAGAATATACATATAGACATATGTACACACAGAAACCCCTATGTGTGTGTACAGAACATCCTAGGTGGTGCTAGTGGCAAAGAACACACCTGCCAATACAGGAGACATAAAAGATGCGAGTTTGATCCCTGGATTGGGAAGATCCCCTGGAGCAGGGCATGGTGACCCATTCCAGTATTCGTGCCTGTGTCTTCATGGACACAGGAGCCTAGCAGGCTGCAGTCCATGGGGTCACAAAGAGTCAGACATGACTGAAGCAACTTAGCGCGTGCTAAGCTTAGCACATGCACACATGTGCATGTACATACACATGTAACTACTTATCTATACACCTGTTTTATAAATATTGGTGTGTTTCTATATGCATACAGTCATTTCTCGGTGTTGGATAGCAAAATCCATGGATGCTCAAGTACCTTACATGAAATGCTGTAATAGCTGCATGAAATCCATGCATACCCTCCCTGTATACTTTAAATCATCTCTAGATTACTTATCATACCTAATACAATGCAGATTCTATGTAAGTAATTGTTTTATGGCAAATTCAAGTTTGCTTTTTGGAATTTTCTGGAATTTGTTTTTTTTAATATTTTCAATTTGAGGTTGGTTGAGCCCATAGCTTTGGAACCTAAGGATATGGAGAGCTGACTGTACGTGTGTGTGTGTAGTCTAGAATCAGGTAAACAAAATATATCGGGTTTGAAGAAAAATGTCTGATTCCTGCCTGCTCTCCTTACAGTACTAGCAGAGAAAGGAAAAAAAAAAAGTATCGTTCAGAATTAGACACAAAGAGCTAGGAAGAAAAGGCACTTTGGTGTGGAGCCCAGATAGCGGCAGTTGAAAGGTAAACAGGCAAATCAGTAATTCTCAGCAACATGACTAAAGAATTACTCATTCATTGGTTATTAATTTAGTAATCAATATGTGTCAGGTACCATGCTAGGGACTAAAGATATTATTGTGAATAAAACAGATAAGGTCTGTGCACTGAGGAGACATCCTCAGACTTGTGGTTCAGGCAGAGCTGGTAAACACAGTCACAGGTACTGATGTACGACCACAAGCTGACCCTGGTGACTATGAAGGCGAAAAACAAGCAGACAGGAGACAGGAAGGAAAGGCGTGCAGACAGGAAACACCTGGCCCCAGACTTGGGCGGTGGGGCGGGTGCGGGGAACACAGGGAACACCTCTCTGTGGAAGGGGTCTTTGGGCTCATGTTTAAAAGTCATGGGGTAGTGATAGTCACGGGGAGCAGCATACAAGATGAGAAAGAACCTGGCCCCTTCCAAGGACTGAAAGAATGCTACTCTGAAAGCACAGGAATGGCGAGTCAGAGAAGTGAGGGGCAGAAGTCACCCTATACAGAGCCTTGTAGCCAATTAAGTATTAGTAGGCTTGGTTGAGAGGGAAATAGGAATGGTGCATAAGAGCAGACAAAGCTCTCTGTGAGGTTTGATATAAACTGATGACAACTTAAACAAAGGTGATGGCAGTGGAGATCAAGAAGACTGATGGATTCAAGAGCTATTTAGAAACAGTCAACAGTAAGTACTAATGAATTAGATATGGGTGTTAAGGGAGAGGAAGTATTTAGGATGAGATCTGGTTTTCTGACTTCGTGCAATTGGAAGGTGTCATTCACAGAAACTGGGAACACTGGCAGAAGGCCTATTTGGGGAGAAATGGGTAGATGGACGGTACGACATGACTATCACAAATCCTGCCTCAGACAAGTTGTATGTGAGATGCCTTGAAGAGATCCAAGTGGAGATGTGGATCAGGCAATTGGATATGTGTGTATGAAGGTCAAAGGGATGTCCCACTCCCCAAAATTTCTAAGACTGAACACTGAGGACTGCAAACTGATACGGAATTGGCTGGTGGAGAGAAAAGAGCCTTGGAGTTCCCATAGTTAATCCTTCCCTTAACTCAGTACCTATTATAGTTGTTCCTAACCAATAGGCTACCTCTTGTTCTTAGAGTTGGGACAATCAAGAATCTTCTTTCCTACTTAAAGCAGCAAAAACATTTCAAGATGTTTCAAGTTTGAACTCTGAATATGTTTTTTTCAAAGAAACATGACCATTTTGGTTACTTAACCAGTATTTTATTTCATATCTTCCAAGAGGAGAAAAATTTTTGTGTGTGTATGAGGGGAAGGGGGGCAGCTAGTCATGATTAACTAAAGATAATTAATTCCAACAACCCCCTATCTATAAAGTTTGGAAATATAAATTAAATATAATCTATCTATAAGCTTGAGATTGGCTATATTATTAACTCTGAAACAATATAATGTTAAAATTACAGCAAGTGAAAGTACTCATATGCATTTAAAAAATATTAATAGTTGCTCAGTGTACCAACTTAATAAGGATAACCTATGAGCCTCTGTTTCCTATTCTGTGAATATACATGCAGAAATGTGTGCAGATTAGAAGTTTATTAACAAGCCTAACACAGTATTTGCTGTTGCTGTTGTTTAGTCGCTCAGTTGTATCCAACTCTTTGTGACACCGTAGACTGTAGTCCACCAGGCTCCTTTGTCCATGGGGATTTTTTGGGCAAGAACACAGTATTTAGAACAAAGTAAATTCTATTATTCATTAAAAATATTTTTATACAAAATTGAATTAATTTGTCTTTTCAGAGCAAAAGATGTATGTACTTCTCCATCTTGAGGAAGAACATAAAAGCAACTGTAAGCATTTGCAAACTCACTTATTCTTCTCTGTCTACACCCTTCTCTATTTTGGCAATTTTCTTCTCTTGGACACAACCAAATACTGTAAAAATACATTAATAACTCAATGCTGCTCTCTAGTGGTAAATACAGAATATACTTTATTACATGGTTTTGCTTTCTAATAACCTTTCAAACAACGAAATTCTCAGAAAATCAGCAAGAGAAAATGTATATTACAGGTATAATTTCTTATTCAGTGATTGTTGACAGGAGATGAGTCACTCAGCACCTAGTCACTACTATTACTTTAAGTACAAATATTTTTCATGGGGGAAAAAAAGCACAAATTGATGTTTGTCTTAAAAGTAAATTCTTATCACTTGTTAGGTACCATAATCCACTGCATTACTTCAAGTATAATCTAAGAAATAGCTTAGCCATACTGAATACACACATCCTTTAGCTTTAAAACTAAAGTAATATATCTCAATTCTTAAAAGAAAAATTTTGTCTTTTGTTTGTTTGAATTTGTTTAAATTTAAGCATTTAAGTATGCTCTTATTTAGTTAATAAATAAAACTCAGGAGCCCAAAATTATATCATTATAATATCCTATTGTATGTTTGTATGCTCAGTTGCTCAGTCGTGTCTGATTGACGCTTTGCGACCCCCATGGACTGTAGCTTGCCAGGCTCCTCTGTCCCCGGGATTCTCCAGGCAAGAATACTACAGTGGGTTGCGATTTCCTACTCCAGAGACAATATCCTATACTTACTGTATAACACTTACAGCTTGGTAAGTGTATTAGGAAGACACTGTATTATCTTCACAAGCCTGAGAAAATTTAAGTATATTGCTTTGAAAGTTTTGGTTAAATTGATTTTTTTTTTTTCCCAACATGGAAAAAAATCCACTTGAATAAACAAACTGTTTGCTAAACAGTGTTCAGGATAGGACTGGGGGGTAAGGGTAGGACTATTTATCCAACAAAAACAACTAGAATAAGAACAATATAAACAAACTTTGTAAGAGGATCCTGTCTCATGTTAAATAGCTTGATATTAATAGACTATTTTATTAAATTCTTTATATACTATATCTCTCCAAAAAGGATTGGAAGAAATTTTCAACAAAAGAAATATAGAATCATGTTAGCAAAACAGAAATAACATGAAATTCAAGAGAAATGAGCACGAAAATATAGTAACCAATTTGTTAACTAGGTGCTTCAAATATAAATCTGAGCTTCCTAGCAACAAGAGCAAAGACGAATTCATGATTTACGTATTTCTTACAGTGATGAGAAGAGTAAGGCTTTCTCATTCCTAAAAAAGATATTTTCTATCCTTAATTCTAAATCTAATTTCTCATATGGACAACAAACTTATCAAGAATTACTGCAAATTCACAAATGAGTAGATTTTTATTTGCTTAGTTTTGCTTTGCATTTAAGAGAGGCCAAATGAACAGTTTAACTGATCTAAGTTAACCCAAACTCAGAGCAATGAATAGAGAACATGTCTTTAGATATGATTTCTCTCAGACTTAGAATAAAAGTTGAACAGCATATAATTAAAAATATATAGCCTTTAGTTAGAGCTTAAAATCCGCTATTTTCATATTTAATTCATTTTTTTCTTATGCATTTGTTAAGTTAAAGCTCCTTGAGTGTCAAGGCCTACTTCCACTCTCTGTGTCTTTCACTGAGAAATGGTCACAGTGGACACTAAATTAACATAAAAAACTTACTGATGACGAAACAAACCTCATCACTAGTGGTTTTGTCTTTTAGGTGAAGAGTTACTTTATCTTCGTTTTTACCTTATAACAGTCTCCTCCAGGAATGATTTCCTGAATATATACCAATGGACCTTCATTCCGGTTAATTCCTCCTAGGATCTTCAGACCAAGGCCTGTTTTCTTGGTAACTGTAATCATCTGAAAGGCAGGATCCCTAAGATAAAGTAAATTAGCATGCATAAATTAGCCTAGAGATGGTGGTCCACCAGGGAGACCCTGCCCAGAGATGGGTACATACTTTTTCTTTAAACTCTTTGTTAACTTCTTAGGCCTAGATAATTCAAAATACTCAGTACATTCCAGCAATGACATTTTTAAAAGTATGATCATACAAAGGCAATCAAATGAATTTTCTCAGCCCTAATTCTAATTTTTCTGTAAAACAACCAAACAATAAGAGAAATTACAGCAATAATGCTTATTTATTTGGAGTAGAAGAATACTTTAAAAATATTATTTAAACAAACTTGAAGATTTATTAAAGGTAACTGCAGAGACTTGCTTTAAACTGACTTTTTACTACATTTTAGGATTCCAAAACGAAAAGACACGCTTGTGGCCATTTCAAGCAAAATAAATATAACCTTAATTTGAATCTCAAAAAAACCCACAAAAAACCCTCAGTTTATGCTTTAAGAGTATTTTCCTGGTACAAAGCACATGCTCCAGCTGTGATTTCTGCTGGACATAAAAGTGATGCTACTAGGAAAGAAGGAACTGTTAAAAAGAATTCTGCAAAAGGTACGCCCTCCCCCCATTCCAAGTTGTGTTTCTGAATAGTGGTCAGAACAGACTTTTATTGGTCCAAGAGAACTTGAGTAAAGTATGAAATGAAGCTCAGGGCTTACTTATGGTGTAGTGGGTATTGTGCTAAGCAATATTCACACATTATGCTATTCAATTCATTTAATATTTATAAAATCCCTAATATTATTACCCTCTTTTTTCTAAAAGAACCCAAATCTAGGTAGGTTGACTTGGTGGCCTAAAGTTACAAAGCTGGAGAACAGCAATGTGAGCCTGGTCTATCTCGCTCCAGAGCCAAAGTATGGTCTTAAGATCTAAGATCACCTCAACCTCAATGCTTCACTGGTACATTAAAGCCATTGTTAAATACAGGACTTCTGCTGCTGCTGCTGCTAGCTGTCTTCAAATGTGCCATCACAGAAACCACTGTTAAAAAGAGTTAGTTCATATTTTACATAAGGTTAAAGCTTTGAAAAATTTTTTATATTTAACTTTTGCCATAGAAATTCTAGCTATATCTTTATGAGGACTTGTATTCAAAAGTTAAATCATAAAAAAGTATAATGAAAAGAAATTAAAACTTTAAAAAACAAATTTAAAATTTGTTTAAACTTAAAAAACAAATCCATATTTTTGAGTATTTTGATCTTTATATAGCACAGAGCACATCCGTTATGGTTGTATTACACTGAATTCAACCCTAGGGTAAGAGGGCCTATGTGGTTACTAGGGTAATAGTCAGTTAGCTAGGGAAAAAGGCAGAAAATGTTCTATTGTCAGATTTCAAAATCTTTCTTGGCGGGAGATTAGGCTGCAAAGAAATAAAGAGATGAAGCCTAGAAGCGGGGGAGATGAAGGAGAAAGGGGACAAAGATCTCATTAGGCACCTCCAATAACCTCTTAAACTGTCTAAATGTGAATTCCCCTCAATGGGGGTACACACGATCTCCAGCACACATTACTATTTCAGTAAAGTATTCCTCCTTTTCTAACCCCAGCAGAATATCTATGATTAACACAGCAGTGTATTTACTTGCTAGGACCTTACTTTAAAATTCCCTCATTGTGGGACTTCCCTGGTGGTCCAGTGGTCAAGATTCTGTGTTCCCATTAGGGGGCCTGGGTTTGATCCCTGGTCAAGGAACTAAATCCCACATGATGCAACTAAAACTCAACACAACCAAACAAATAACTAAATAAAACAAAATTTTTTTAAGTCTCTCCTTGTTAAGAATTTACATTACTTAATTTTTTTTTGCAATTAAAAATAGTTCTGCTGCTCAAATTTAATCATAGTAACAGAATCTACAAGCTAAATCCAGGCAGAAATACTGGTTTTTACCTAATCAGATCAATGTAAATGTAGAACTCTGACAATATATGACAAGGCTTTAGGAAAGAGGTACTCCTACACATTGTTGGTGGTAATCAAAAATGGTATAACCTCTGAACAGGGGATTTAGTAATCTCTAATTTACCTTCTGGGCTTCCCCGGTGGCTCAGTAGTAAAGAATCCACCTGCCAGTGCAGGAGACATGGGTTTGATCCCTGGGTCAGGAAGATCCCCTGGAGAAGGAAATGGAACTCACTCCAGAATTCTTGCCTGGGAAATCCCATAGACAGAGAAGCCTGCGTCCACGAGGTGGCAAAGGAGTCGGACACGACTTAGCAACTAAACAACAACAGTTTACCCACTAATCCAACAATCTCATTTTTTGGAACCTTTCCCAAAGATAATTTGGCGACAAATACAAAATGACTTGTATACTAGGTTAGTTATTTGGCATAACTTGTAATCACCAAAAACTGCAAACAGTTCAAATGTCTATCAGTAAGGTACTGGATAAATAAACTATGGTATTGACATATTAAGAACAGAATACTATACACCTACAACAAGGTACAAGGAAGAACTTTATAAACCAATATGAAGTGACCATTAGGACATAACTTTAGTTTACAAAAGGGCTGTTCAAAATATCATATATACAGGACTTCCCTGGTGATTCAGGGGTTCCCTGATAACTCAGTTGGTAAAAAATCCACCTGCAATGCAGGAGACTCTGGTTTGACTCCTGGGTCAGAAAGATCCACTGGAGAAGGGATAGGCTACCCACTCCAGTATTGTTGGGCTTCCCTTGTGGCTCAGCTGGTAAAGAATCCACCTGTAATGCGGGAGACCTGGGTTCGGTCCCTGGGTTGGGAAGATCCCCTAGAGAAGGAAAAGGCTACCCACTCCAGTATTCTGGCCTGGAGAATTCCACGGACTGTATACAGTCCATGAGGTAGCAAAGAGTCAGACAGGACAGAGGGACTTCCACTTTCACTTTCCTGTTGACTCAGTGGTAAAGAATCCATCTGCCAATGCAGGAGACACAGGTTCAATCCCTGGTCCAGGAGGATCCTACAAGCCACAGAGCAACTAAGCTTGTGCACCACAATCATCCAGCCTGTGCTCTAGAGTCTGAGAACCACAACGACTGAAGCCTGTGCTTTCCAGAGCCTGTGGTCTACAAGAGAAGGCCGCCACAGTGAGAAGCCCACGCACCACAACTAGAGAGCAGCCCCAGTTCTCCACAGCTACAGAAAAGCTCAACCAGCAATGAGGACCCAGCACAGCCAAAAATAAACAAATAAAATTATTTCTTAAAAAAAAACAGCAGAAAATACCACTATATATAATATGCTACCTTTTTGTTAAGAATGCACTGGCAAGTGGAGCCTGGGATATTGGGTGTTTTAGGACATCTTGCCTTAGTAATATGCTTCTTTCTCATTAGCTTTATTTTGCCTTAAGTAGTTGAATAAAACTCTGTGCTGTCACAGAGCAAAGCTGTTCAGTACCAGTGCATGGAGCACTGTGGACAGAATTCTTTATCTACCGCACAGCTGGGCCTGGCTTTTGTCCCTAGGAGACTGGAGCTTCCCAGGGCTCCCAGGAGGAGGCATCAGAGAAAGATACACTGAGTTTAACTGACCTGAAACCATTCTCTAGGAAAGACCTTAAAACTTGAGTCAACACTGGTGTACACTCGTTTACTAAGTAAGCAAGAGTAGAAGAATGTCTAATGTCCAGTAGCACTTTATACAGAATAAATAATCGTTTTGAGAAAAAATATAATTATATACACACATACATATATGACATGCATATATATTTATATGGATATGTATTTGTTCATTCAAAAAGATACACTGAAAAAGAATTAAGAAAAAGATGGCTATTTATAGGAGAAAGAGGGCACAGAAGGATAAGACTGAAAGAAAGACTTCTCTGAATATACTTTGTTATATGTGTGTTACATGTTTGCAAAATGGCCACCAATTCTTCCCATCTCTGTCTGGATGCCCCCAAGAATGTGGCTTTACTGTTCCTTCCATTAAAAAGTAAAGTCTGTAACTCTAGACCTTGAATTTAGACTTAGTTATCTACATTGCTTCAGTCAATGGTGCATAAGCAAATGTGAGGAAAACAGACATTTGAAAAATACTCGTGCTTGCTGCTGGGAACCACTCTGCAGCAATGTGAGAAAGTCTGAGCTAGCTGCCTGGAGGGTGGGAGACCAGGCTGAAAGGGACCTCAGCCATCCAACCTTCCCAAACGAGGCCCCAGAACACATCTGTGAGGCCATCCTACTGGAGCCAGTGCAGACCGGAACTGTCCACAGAATCATGACAAAGAATAAATGCTTGCTTGTTTTAAGGTATTAGAGCTTGTTTGTTACTCAGCAAATGTTAATCTTACATTATGTTATAGTTATACTGGAAATATAAAATACTTTAGATATTTTAAAAATCAGATCAAATTTTTAAAAATCCAGCTCTATAAATAATTCTAAAAGAGAATGCAGGATTTATCCTATACCTTGATTTACAGTGGAAGGTAATTACTGATCAACCTTTTTATTGCCACTATCTTACACCACAGGTAGTTAGCTGTATGAAACTTTTCTCCAAAAACTAACATTCTACATATTTTAAACTATGATACTTCAAAACATATTAAATTTAATTTAGAAATTACTTTTCAAGTAGACTGGATGATACTACAGAAAATGTATTTTTATTCATGGTTTCACCACAACTGTAGCCTTGGATTTAACAGCTGCGAAAATGAAGATCTTGATGAAGAGTCTATAAATTCTTCTTTTTCCTAAGATTGGAGAAGTAGAAAATAAATTGTCATATCTTAGAACAGTCAAATTTGATTTCAGCTTTGCATAAAAACATTACATATACTTGGCATGTAAATAATATGTGCCCGTGTATAGATATGATAGATGTATTTTATATATTTTAGGCTATGGCATTTTAGTCATTGCTGATAATATTTGAGAACTATAATGATAGTTCTATAGATAGATAGCTAGATGGAGTTACAGGACTATATCTATATCATTGTATAAAAATCTGCATTTTTTAGCAGAAGTGAAGAACACAGTTAAGTATTAGGTAACTATTGTAGCTTCCACCATTACTAAGCTTAAAAACCACATAATAATAAAAGACTGAGCAGAACGTCTCTTGTGAGCACAAAACTAGGAATTTTATAGTCAGAATGTCTGCAAAATAATTATACAATACACTTTGAAAAAATTCATATTGTCTCACCAACTATCTTGAGGGACTTCCTGCAGATCCTACATTACTCTGACTCATATTACTCCAAGAGCTTCTTAAACGCCTTCCTATAAAAAGAAAAAAAATACTATTCTTAATGTCTTATATAGCTCCACTTGAAAATTACAGAGAATAGTACAGTTTCATTTAATTGAAAAAAATGTATTTGAACAGAGATTTACCACTTCTGCATAGGAAATATACATGAAGTACAAAAACTTGAAGTTGAAAAAGACATTAGGACCATTTAGCACAACCCTCTTATTAAAGAAATGAGTAGTTAGATTCAGTGAAGGAAATGGCAACCCACTCCAGTATTCTTGCCTAGAGAGTCCCGTGGACAGAGGGGCCTAATGGGCTGCTATCCATAGCGTCGCACAGAGTCGGACACGACTGAAGTGACTTAGCAGCAGCAGCAGCAGTTTTATTCAGAGACTGCATTCTTTCCCTATGCAAATGAGAAACAGTCAATTGTTTTCCCAGCTAGAACTCAGACTTCAGAGCCCACAGCATGGAACTTGACATCAGACAAGCCTGGGTTCCAATCTGAGCTTCTAGGCTCCTTCAAGTATCAGTTTCTTCATAGGTAGAGTAGGTAGTAGTGATGGTTTTAATACACATGTCAAAATGTACCAAACTGTCTCAGCAGAAATATGTGCTATCTGTTAAAAATCAAAAATATTTTAGTAAAGATAAATTTTTTTAAAAATCTGATTTTCATTTAAGAACGTCAGCCTGACTTTGGCATATATCTTCTTTTCCTCTAAGAGCCCACTAATACAAGAGTAAAGGGTTACAAACAGTATAAACTCATAATGTTGAAAAAATGAAAGAAAAGTCATGAAATGAAAAATTTCAATTAATTTCTGGAAGACAAAAAATAGACAGTAGGATAATTGATAAAAAGAGGACTGAAGAAGCTGAAAGCTAGGGAAAGGCTTTGTAACACTTTTAAGTTTGAGCACACATAAAGAAAATGGTAATATCTGTAGGGTGTACTGGGGTAAACAGAGGTGGCATTTACACCTCTAAGAAGCCCAGGCATGCCACACCTCTAAGAAGCCCAAGGGCAACCACTAACTCAGCACACCATATCTGATTCATGGCAAAATTCTGACCTCAAAACAGCTAGAGCTGTGGATCAATCCATCTTGCAGAATCCCAGAGAGGCTGAGGACTCAGGACCCAGAGTTCTAAGCAGAGAGAAACTGAGGCAGAGAATTAAAATTTCTTCTCCAACTATGTATGTGAAAGAAACCCTAGATTCTTCCATCAATAAATTAAACAGACTCTGAAGAAAGCACCAACTACCTTCTGGGATCCTAACAGAGTTGTATCACTGGCCTGGGTGTTAAAAACCTGCTTCAACTTTCACAGCCCCTGTGGTAGCAAGCAAAGGAAACCATGGGAGCATACGTATCAACAGCAGCAGGAAAGTGAAGCCACCAAGCAACATTGCTGTCTGCAGCAAGCGTCCAATGGCCAGGAAGCAGGAAGTTTACTCAGTATTCCATGGAGGAAGGAGGGGAAGAGCTTAAAGTCCTAGGGCTTGACAAAATAATGACCCAGAGTCAAGAGCTGCTACATCAGTCCACAAGACTAAGGCAGCTGTATTAGAGAGTTCAATTCTAAAAGGAAGTTTCTATAAATACATTGGAGACTGCTTTATTAATACATGTTTGTTGAAGATTCCCAACCCTTCAGTGGTGAAGCTTTGATATTACAATAATATTAGCAACTACCATTTGGCATTATGTGTCACACACTGTGCTAAGTATTTCAAATGTATTTATCTTATTTAATACCATGGAAAATACATTAGATTTAAGTAAAAAAAAAAAGCCAAGTTCAAATGGCAACACTGCTATGTGGTAGCCATACAGTCTGAGAAAGTTACCTAACTTACTGACATCACTTCATGTTAAGGTAAGAACAGTAACACCTAGCTCAAAGGTTGCCGGGAGGATTAAGGGAGATGTAAAAAACTGAGCCGTCTTCAGTGTTGCCAAAGCAGGTTAAGATCTGGTAGTGATTTGTCTTAGCAGGGCACTGGGTCCCTGGATCAGGGAACATATCCAAGCATAATGGATGTGTCACTGTTAAATTCTATAATAAACTCCATATAGCGTCACTTAAACTTTTTACCACTTTAAAATATTAAAACGAAATTTCAGTTTTTAAATTATTTCATTCACCTAACATACCTGACATTGTCTTAAATGCTGGAGGTAAAAAAAAAAAACAAAAGCAAAGAGTCTATCCCTAGAGATAACCAAACGAACAGACATCAGGAGGGTGCTGAGTGCTCTGACATTGGTGTGCACTGGGTGCTGGGGACATGGAGGAGTCACCATGCAACACCAATACAGCCAGGCACTCTACTAGAGCATTTTACCCTCTGAGGAGCACCAGAAGACAGGTAATATGCACCCATTTTACATTAAAAAATCAGTTAATGGAGAAACTATGTGACTTGTCTATGACCACAATGTTAAATAGCTGTAAAGCAGAATTTGAATCAGTTCTACCTGACTTCAAACGTAAGCTTTTTTCACTATAGCACGCTGGAAAATTAATTAATGTGGAAAAATGTCATCCTCCAACAAAGCAGGAAAAGAGAGTGTTGGTAAATGTAGTAATATGCTGTTTCTCTTTTATGAAAATGTTAGGTTGGTACAAAAGTAATTGCAGTTTGGACTGTGAATTTTAACTCATTATAACTAGGTTCAAACACATATTTATTAATCAAAACAGGAACCATTACAATCAACCCATTTTTGCCAACGAGAAACAAGTTTGTTTATTCCTGTATTTTAAAAATTCATGCTGTGGGATTCAATAAACTCTTGGAAAGCATTTTCTGCATCCTGCTGGTTGTGGAAACATTTTGCCTGCAAAACATTCAGATGCTTGAAGAAGTGGTTATCAGTTGGCGAGAGGTCAGGTGAATATGGTAGATGAGGCAAAATTTTATAATCCAATTCGTTCAACTTTTGAAATGTTGGTTGTGCAATGTGTGGTTTGGTGGTGGTGTGCAGAATTGGGCCCTTTCTATTGATCAAAGCTGCTGCAGGCCTTGCAATTCTTGGTGCTTTTCATCAATTTGCTGAGCTTACATCTCAGATGTAATGGTTTCGTGGGCATTCAGAAAGCTGTAGTGGATCAGACAGCCAGCAGACCACCAAACTGTGGCCCTGACCTTTGTTTGGTGCAAGTCTGGCTTTGGGAAGAGCTTTAGAGCTTCTTCTCGGTCCATCCACTGAGTTGGTCGCTGCTGGTTGTTGTACACTATTCACTTTCGTTACACATCACAATCCCATTGGAAAATGGTTCATTGTAGTTGCACAGAGTAAAGGAAGATGACAGTTCAAAATGACAAGTTTTTCGATTTGCAGTCAGCTCACTGAGGCACCTATTTATCAAGTTTTTTCACCTTTCCAATTTGCTTCAAATGGATTTGCTTCAACAACTTTAGAATGGTTGACGTTGAGTTCTTTGGCAACTTCTCATGTAGCTGTAAGAGGATGAGTTTCAACGATGGCTCTCAGTTGGTCACTGCCAACTTCCAATGGCCGGCCACTACGCTCTTTGTCTTCAAAGTTCTTGTCTTCTTTGCAAAACTTCTTGAACCACCACTGCACTGTACTTCTGTTAGCAGTTCCTGGGTCAAATGTGTTGTTGATGTTGTGAGTTGGCACTGCTGCCTTTTGATACATTTATAAAACTGAATAAGAAAACTGCTCATTTTTGCTTTTTTGTCTAACATCATTTCAACAGTCCAAAATAAATATAAAATAAATAGCAAGAAATAAGTCACTAGCAAAAAAATATAAAGCAAGAAATGTGTATTAAAATGATGTATAACATAACCACATTTACTTAAGAATGTATTGTAATTTGTTGTCTTTCAGTAGCTTAGTCATGTCTGACTCTTTGTAACCCCATGAACTACAGCATGCCGGGCTTCCCTGTCCGTCACCATCTCCTGGAGTTTGCTCAAACTCATGTCCTTTGAGTCGATGATGCCATCCAACCACTTCCTCCTCTGTCGCCCCTCCACCCCCCGCCTTCAATCTTTCCTAGCATCAGGGTTTCTTTTCCAATGAGTTGGCTCTTTGCATCAGGTGGCCAAAGTATTGGTGTTTCAGCTTCAGCATCAGTCCTTCCAATGAATATTCAGAATTGATTTCCTTTAGGATTGACTGGTTTGATCTCCTTGCTGTCCAAGGGACTCGCAAGAGTCTTCTCCAACACCAAAATACAAAAGCCATCAATTCTTCAGCACTAAGTCTTCTTTATGATCCAACTCTCACATTCGTACATGACTACTGGAAAAACCACAGCTTTGACTAGAACTCAACAATACTGGAGTAGATTGCCATGCCCTCCTCCAGGGGATTTTCCCAACCCAAGGATCAACTCACATCTCTTATATCTCCTACATTGGCATG